AAATCTCCACAAAGGCATGCTCTACAGCCAGCGGGTGGTAAGAGGTTGCTCCTCTGCTCCCACTCAGAGGAGCCAGGTCACTGGTAGTCTGCTCTCTCCTGCCAGCATACAGCGATTAGGAAATCTGCCAGTAATGGGTGGGAAGCTGATCACTGATAGTGATAGGTGAGGCAGCACCATACCTGCCACCCTGGGGCCAGCAGTGGTCCCAGTTGCCACTGTAGGATACTGCCACAGCAAGCAGAGCAGCAACTCCTGGTCCTGCTGCGCTGCATTTCTGCTTCCCATTGGTGTGCTCTGCAGCCTGCTGCTCTCTCTCTCTGTTTTCTGAGGAAGAGACCCTTGGGGCAACACATAACTGTACAGACATTATATGCGACCCTACAAAACACAGCGCTACAGAGAAATTCCCATTTCAGACAGGAACATTCCTGTAGTGCTTGCACCATTTTGCAGTGCTACAGGCAGGGTACACATACGTACACCCACTTTTTGTAGTCCTATATGCACTTTACATGCAGCCTTGTAACGTTATAAATGTAATGTCTGTCCGTGAGCTTAGTCTGCTCATCAATCATTTGCTATAGGGGCTGGATTAGAGCATTAGATCTTCAGAGAATTTGGCTGCAGAACTCTTAATGGGTTTCTACCGAGCATCTGTGAACTAAGTTTTCACGCGCTCACAAAATCTGGCCAAGTTTGGGAAGATTTTAGAGGGCTAACTAAAGGGATCTCTCTAATATCAAAGCAGCTTCTTCCAAGTTTTCAAGTCTCTTCAACCATGGATGACCTGAAGTTTATCAATGAAAAGGTGTAGGAATTTTTTCTAAATGGGTAAAGCAATGCATTTTCCCTTAACCTCACTCCCAGAAACTGCTGATCTATTTTGGCTGAAACCTTTCCCAAAAATTTCACCAGGAGGCAGATACTCAGAATGAAAAAAAACACCAGATCAAATAATTAGTGTAGCAAAGCTGTAAGCAGCTGAAAATATTAGCTTAACACGTTAAGTGTCAAGCAGAAGTCAGGGCAGGATGGCACCTTAAAGGCTAACTCATTCAGAAAAGAGTAGTTTTCATAGGCTACAGCCTACTTCATCAGATGCTATGCAACCTTTTGTATAGGAGTCACTACCTGCCTTGCCTTTAATATTCTGGACATTTTCTGGTATTCTCTATATTCATTTCTGACAGCCAACCAGGTTTGGCATGGCAGTCCCTTCCCTTAGCCTTTTATTTTTAGTAAGACTGAGATACCTTAAAACTATCTGACCTCTGAAAAGCAAAGTGGGGTGCTCAATCTCTGGCTCACAGGTCAAATACAGCCTGCAGAGCCATGGCACCTGGTCCACAGGGTTCCCCAGGGGTCAGGACATTTGGTGACGGGGGAGCAGTAGTGAGTCATACTGCCACATCTCCCTGATGCCAAATTCCCAAGCCCTGAAGGACTGGATGGGGGCCGGGCCACGCTCCCTTTTATTCTCCATGCAGCTGGATCAGAGCCAGACATGGTCCCTTGCCCCCTGTGTGCAGTTTGAGACTGCGCCATGCCACTTTCCCCTGTGGGGCCAAACCAGTCTCCAACCCCCTCACATGGCTGGATTGCGCCCTGCCTTACTGCCCTGAGCACTGGATTGGGCCCTCTGGGTGGATCCACCCCATGAATGGACTGAGCATTGTCCATCCAGCCCAAGGGAGAAAAAAGGTTAGGCTCCACTGAATTAAAGTGTTTCAGCTTCAGCCCTCAAAAGTGAGGCACCCCAAATCATTGGGCATTTTAGAAAACCTTGATTTTCTAAATATTAAATATGATATACTAAATACTATATATACTCAGTATTAGTCTTTCTAAATACTAGGTATTTGGCCTTCTTCACATACTTTGTTGCTGCTGTACCATAAAAGTATTTAGTCTCTTACTGAGGGAATCCTGATAGTTCAATCCACAAGGCCAGCTTTTTATTTTGTAGGCTGTGACCAACTCCTCCATTGTTCCTCTTTCCCTCTGGGTCCTCATCCAAACTCTCTCTCTTTCATAGCCCATCTCTCTCTTTCTTTCCAGGGACACAACAATCATTACATCTTTCCAATTTCTTCTTCAAAGCATTCTTCTCCATAGCACAGAATACACTGCAAACATCTACTGTTGCTGCTGTTATTAAAACCAGTGCAATTTTGCATTCGTTTTCCATGTTAGTAAACCCCATGGTTTTAACAGACCATTTAAACTGCAGTTTGAACCCTTTCCAGGTCTCACTGGCATTCGGCAGCATGTTTAAGGTTGATGGGGGATTTACATGTTGGAGATGCCTTGGAGTCAGAGGAGCCATTTTTATTTCATACAATTCCTCATAGCAGCCAGTTTCACTTTTATCCAAAACTGGCAATCTGCTTGCTGATTCCCTGGGCTCACCAGCAGTCTGTGTTTTCCACCTGTTATTCTTCAGTGTTGACCAAGGAAGATTTAAGGCACCATCTATTTAATGGACAAAAAAAAAATAAGGCCTCAAGTGAACACAGAAGTGATGCTGCTGTGATTTAGCCCTGATATATTGTCTAGCTCAGCCTTTGTAACCTGCTCCTGTGTGTGAGAATATGTGTGAGTCAATGGGATAGGCAGGCAGTGTTGTGTGTTGTCGTTCTGAACTCCCTGCTGAGGTTTAACACATTAAATCATGGCCAGCACATCTCTGTTCCACCTGACACACATTCCTGCTTCAGGAAGTGGGTTATTGGAGCTTTCATATCACACCTGTTTTGCTGCGTCCAGGGGCTGACACAATGTTCAGGTCTAATCCCTGATGAACAGGGAAATCCCCCTGCCTCACCCATCAGACACACCACCAGCAATGCTATCAAACCTTCTTCCCTGAGACTTGCACCTGAGCCTTCCAACATAGCTTGATGGTCAGATGGCAAGGGCTGTCTCAGTCCCAGAGGGAAGAGAAGGTATCAGCTTCACAGCTGAGGGGTGCTAATCCCCTGACAGGAGTTCACAGCTCAGACATGCCAGCAATTTTCAGCTGCCACAGGACACCATGAAGAGTGGTGTGGCTCAGGTAATCAGGCCCACAATGCTTTGGGGCCATGTACATGTAGGCATTTAATTGATTAAAGCTGCCAGGAGCTACCTAGGGAGGTTCACAAATGTGTATAGGCAGGGGAAGCTCCAAAGCATTTTTGAAAATCCCCCTGTCTTTAGCACTAAATGTCATTGGAAATCTGGCCTTTAGGGCCTGAAGGGTCCAGATCAACACCTCATACACTAATTGGAAACTAATCTCCACCCAGTGGAGATCCTCCAGGAGCAGTCTATGCGCACTCCCAGCAAAGTCCTGGTGCATAAGCAGACAACAACTGCCTTCTGCACCAGCTTCAGGACCCACATGCTCCAGAGGTGATGCCCATGCAGAATGCACTGGGACAGTACCATCACAGCAGGACATGGTCCCAGGCCCAGATGAAGGGAACACTGCTCTGTATATAAAGAGTGCAGGCAATACAGACTGCTCTTGGCTACTGCTGCTGTGCTAGTCAGGAAGGAGGCTGATACATCCTCTGATGTTGTTTGTCCTCTCCCATCCCCCATCACTCCAGTATCGACTGAATCTCAGGCAGCTTTACCAGACTCTGGCTAAGTTGCTTTGTCAGCAGAAAAATGGAAATCCAGAGTCAAGCATCAGTGCAGTCCAGGCCTTCTCTATGAAGTCTGTCCTGTTACTGCCCACTATGAATGAGAACATAAGTATTCCTACTGGCTCCGTATTCTCCATCACCTCAGCTCCCTATTCTATACCCCACAGAAGATTACTCTTCCCAACCTCCATTCCTGCCCCTGGCCCCTTCACTTGCCTATAACTGCTCTGTCACTCTGCCCATATACTGGGAACTTTTGAAGAATGAATATGTAAAGGGATAATGGGAACATCCAAAGCTACATTACTCAGGGTTTAGGAACATATAAGGCACACAAATGCCCCTGCATTGGGAGACACAAGCTAAGGACTACCCAATGAGGTATTGGGGAAACTTCTGCTCTGAACAGGGCATTCCATAATTGTCCTGTTCTGGGTTTCTCAAACCTTCCTCAGAAGCCAGTATGAGCTATTTTAGAGACAGGATACCACACTAGGAGGGCTGATCTTAGTCAGGATGACAAGCCCTGTGTTCTTATTCCACTGTCTGTCATATTCTCTCTCCCTTCAAATCCCACTTACTGAAATCCTGCCCCCCAACTTTTGAACAGTTCTGGTATGGAGATTGCATGGGATCAGGCTCCTGTCTTTGGCAAGCTCTTGGGGTCGGGGGGCAGCTAAATAATGCCTTATTCCATGAATAGAGTCCCCGTGCCTGTTCCCAACAGCTTACTGGCCCCTGGCCTTCTGCTTCACAGTCCATCACCTGTGGTGACAAGAAAGCACAGTAATAGGAGTCCCAGGCATGGTATTGCAGATAGAGAATGCTAGAGCTTTGAATCACAAGGGTATCAGCCAGAAGTGCACAGTTTTTCTGCAGTGGCTCTACATGCAGTATATTTTAAGGTGTTTGTGGTAGGAGGCGGCTTGGGGAGTAAAAGGAAGTGTGGAAGAGTCAGACAGAGTGTGAGCTCTCTCTGACTGAGCGTGGAGAAAATGGAGTTTTGTGTTGGTGTTGAAGGAGAAGGAAGGGTCATCATGTAGGGAAGAAATGGCATCAGCACAAGTGGCAGAGGGAGGGACAGCCAGGAGGGTAAAGGGTCTGCATTGGGTCCACAATATTCCACAGCATAGCCTGCTGCAGCCTCATTCCTCACACAGATGCAGCCTATGGATGCTTCACATCCCAGTTGCTAAGCTCCATCTTGGTCCAACCAAGCAGGGACCTGCAGTTTCCAATGGTCAGGCTAGTTACATTCAGAATGAGAGTGGATGACGTGGCTCCTCCTGGGAATCTAGCTCCTTGTGGGATATTCTCTGCCCTTCTCCCACCTCCATCATCTGCAGGAGAAGTCAGCGTGCTTACCCGGGAAGCCAGGCTGTCCTTACAATGCAGACTGATTCCACACTCATCGGTGATTTCAGAGAGATCTTCATCCTCAAACTCCTCAAGGCTGATATCGTGGGTGAGCCTGGTGGAGACAAAGATCATGCAGTTACTGCCAAACAGACCTGATCTGTTGGGAAATGCCCTCAGTGCTGTCTGGGCAATGGAGACAATTTGGGGGGAACTGTCAGGGCCCCAGGCCATGGGGATCCTAGTAGGGTAAGTTAGCCAGTGTTATGCAATGTGTAGCTGAGAGAAAGAAGGGGTCATTACCTTAACCTCTTCTCAAGGCACCCACAGCTGGCTCTGCTAGGCAGTGCCACATTCCCTGGCCCTGGGCTAACTGCAGGTGGTGGAATAGGGTACATGCCGGCAGGCAGCAACGTAACTGGGGTAGGAGAGCGGGATGAAGGTCCCTCCCTGGTAGCTTTGCCCCTCCTTCAGTGCCAGGTTCTGATCCAGTCAAAGCATGGCAAGCCTGGGGGATCCCTGCTTTCCCAGAGTTTGCTGCACTTTAACGCCCAAACACTCTTCATCAGCAGGGCCCAGGAAGCCACCTCTGAAAGCATATTGGTGGTGAACTGTACCAGTGTACCCCTTCCATATGCTCTGGTGTGGGGTACACTGCGCTGGCGTCTGATCAGAAGCTTAGAGACACAGCCAGGCACCTAGGACAATGGTGACTTTGGGTTGCCACACTCTCCTGGCAGGGCCTTGTGGTCTCCAGGGAGAATGAAAGCTACCATACACAATTCTGCTAGGACCAAGTAGTAACCATCTACTATAAAAAACAAGACAAGAGGTGACTGGAGTGAAAGTAGGGCAGAGGTGGGACAGGAAGAACATACTTTCACCTGTCCCTGTCCCCACCAATGCACAGCTGGGCAGGACCAGAGAATTAACCTTCTAGGGGCAAGACCTTATACAAAGAACAAAGGCATTGGCAGCCCAGAACTGATGGACCAGTGGCCTCTGTCAGTGACAAATGCTAAATCCTTCTACAGAAAGGTAGTAGATATCTACACAGAGATTTATGGAGCACCCTGCCCACAGACGAAGTTTTCTCCTAACATCTGGGAGTCCAAAAGTAAGAGTGTTTAAGCATTTCCCTTTATTTTCCATTCCCTTCTAATAATGCTATTGATGTTCTCTTTGTCCACTTAAGGGTCAAACCTTTTGATGCTCTAGGCTGAAGGGGTATTTTGTGGCAGTCAGTTCCACACATGAATTTTACCTGGTTTAAAAAGTATTTCCTTTCAGCAGTGCTGCCTCTCCATTTCATTACATGCCCCATTATATTCTTAGACAGTGTGGATAGGAACTCCCAGTTTCTCTGCTGTAAAGCAGTCATTATTTAGAATGCCTCCATATTCATCAACTCTCAAAACTAAACAGTCTCAGACCTTGTCTCCATACCAGTTGGCACAGTTATAACTACAGGTGAGGTTTTACACTGATTTAGGAACCACTGATGCTGCTTTGTGTGTACACACTTCAGTGTGGTTTAGGAACCACAAGTAGATTCTTGTGGTTCAGCATGTTCTGGTAGAAAAAGTGAAAGAGTGTCTGCACAAGGGTATGCACCAGTTTAAACTTCAAATCATTTTCAAAACAGTTTAATTAAGCAAGTGAAAATTGTGCATGGGTAGCCAGGGCAGAAATCTGTTCTTTTTCATTGCACAGACCATTTTCATAGCCAGTCTCTGGATCCAGCTGGCACAAGGTTTTCAGACAGCAGAAGAGAGAGAGAGAGAGAGAGAGAGAGAGAGACAGAGAGAGAGAGAGAGAAAGAAACAGAAGCAAAGGATATGGATGCTGAAGAGCAGAATAGGGACTGGTCAGAGTTCCAGGTAATGTAAGTGGAGAAGGATGAGGGGATGCCTTACATGATCCATGCCCTTCATCTAGATTTTAGATCCCCATTGCTCATGGATGCTCCAGCAGCAGCCATGGTCAAGAGAACTTCTTAACCCCTTGTGAGTTCCCTGGAATGCCCAGAGTTGCAAGGCCAGAAAACCATTTAATCACATCCTTGATGAGTCCCCCAGAGACACCAGTGTAGCTGGGAACAAACACCCATCCCCCTGCTGCTAAAAACAGCGAGGGAAAGGATGGTGTGAAGAGAAGGAAAGATCACCTTGTGCTCAGTCCACTCTTGCAGAACCAGGCACAGCGAAGCAGAGGTGTGGGGAGAACAGGGTAATAAGCTTACCAGGGAGTCTGTCCTCATAGAATCCAGCCCCCTTCACTCCCCCTCTGATACGCAGCCTCCTACCAGTGCCCAGCAGGGCAGTGGAGGAGGGTCCATCTTGGTGAAGGGCAAAAGAGAAAATCTCTGTGCCATTAGCATCTGGCAAAGTAAGCTGCTGCCTATGAAAGCTTATGCCTCCCTAAATGAGTTAGTCTCTAAGGTGCCACCTTGCCCTGTCTTGTGCCTGTCTGCACAGAACAGGCAGGAACTGGAGTGGAGGCAATGCTTTTGGTGCCATGCAAGGGTGAATCAGGCCCTGCATCAAGAAGTGGGGGAAGGAAACAGACACTAACAGTGGTCTTTCAGAGTGGAAATCGATTTCTTCTCTGGTTACATGGGTCAGTGGGGTCAGACAGGAAATGCCACTAATGCTCATTATCTCATACACTGCCATCTGTCAGGGCCCTGCCCAAGAAAGAAAGAGAAAGAGAGAGAGAGAGAGAGAGCGAGAAAGAGAGAGGGAGAGACCTCTTTGGAGCTAAACCAAGTGGGCTCCTTACAAGATCAGCAGCTTCTTGGGAAGGTCTCAGAGCACTGCAGGACTGGATTCTCAGTAGCACCCCCCACTACCCAGTGGGATGGTGGAAGAGCAGACACGGGGCAACTCCCCCTCCCCAGGGACCGCCTCTGCAGGCAAAGCACAGGCCTGCATACAGAAGACTGTTTGCTGCAGTGAACCCTGTGTGCCTGGCACTGGGACATACAGGGTTTGGGTCAACCCCTGGGGACACTGCAAACTTCAAGCTGCTCCCCAAGAAGCTTCTTTTCCCCAGTGAGGCTTTCCCATTAGCCCCTTTCCCCTCCGCCCTCTGCTTTTACTCTTCCACCTCCTGTTTAAAAATGTTAAAAAACACACTTTGCCAGCAAGTGCTTCTGCCTCAATGCTTCAGCCACTGAGGGGCTGCCAGCACATGGACCCTGAACTGACACCAATGGGGAGGGTCCAACAGTCCAGGCTACTTTGGTGTCCTCTGTACTCAAACACCCTTCAGCTGCATACGCAGCTGATAAACTTTGCACCTTGGTCTGTGCCAAGCGCTCTCCTGCTATGCAGGCAGAGGGAAGGGATGAACCCGGAGATGCTGGGCTGCTCCTGTCTTTTCCATAGAAACCTGCAGAGAAGTTCCCCCCACCCATCCCACACACACTCCCCGGTCCCAGCCAGATCCCTACCATTTCTCCCACTGATCCTCCAGCCAGCTTTCCTCTTCTGTGCTCGACTCCATTTTCAAAGCCAGATGCATTTAGAAGGAACCCCTTCCTTGGGGCTTCAGCAACACAGTCCAAAGAAGTTCCCCCCCAGGGAGAGGAGGAGCCAGGCAGGGTATGTGTGTGGCCCCTCAGCCTGCCCCAGCTCAGAGCCTGTGGCTGCCTGTGCTGCTGTCTCCTCTCCCCACTGCGCAATCTAGGGGAGCTCATTAAAAATAGATGGAATCAGCTGTCTTGGGGAAAAAAAAATAGCCTCTAGAGCTGAGATGGTGCCAGGCCCTGCGCTCTGCCTGGGATGTGGATTCTCTCAGCCAGCCAGCCAGCCGGGCTCCTAATCAATAGCAGCTCCTGCTTCACCCATCACCTGCTGCCTGGGGAAAATGGGAATCAAGTTACCATACCAATGATACCAGCTCTGCTCAGCCACCTTCCTCTGCCCTTGCAATGTCCCTGCCCATGCTAGTGAGTTACAGCTCAGGGCTCCAGCCAACCTCTTCCAGAGGCCACACTCCCCAGTGGGAATGGGATGTTTGGCTGCTTTTATTTGCAAGTGAGAGAACTGTCTGCTTCACGTACATAAAGACATTTAAAGGGCCAGCACAGCATTCAGAAATGCATATAAGTGTCTGCCCAGGGCACCGTGGAGGTATGCCCCTTCACATGCCCCTTCCCTCTGATAGACCAAATGTATAGCTTTGGGCACAGTACAATTGTGAGCATAACTGCCAGGAAGTAAGGCTGGTTTCATTTCAGGCCTTTAGAAGAGTGGAGGGAAATCAGAAGAGCAGCAACAGCCACTATGTTCTTTAAAAGTTAAATCCCTCAAGCTCAGGAGCTAGGCAAAGCCACCCCACCTGAGTGTCCCAGCAGGAGACCTGGTTAGGGGTACTGTGCCCCCAAGCCCCTCACAAAGCAATGCACCTCAAGGCTGGCAAACCCCTGGCTCCCAGGGAGCTCTGCACACTTCCAAGACCCTGTTGCAAGAAAAGCAATAAGCAGGCCTGAAAAACATCGACCCAAAGCAGAGTCCAAGTGTACTAATCACAGGGGAGAGCACCTGCCCCGCCCCCTCCCCCCTCTTCAAACCCACCGCCTGCTTCAGGGAAACAAGCCATGAGCAGTTTTCATTGTGGGCTACCCTGAACCACAAGGTGTTGCTGATAAACTTTCTATTTAACAGCCTTTTAGCTAACTGGCTTCATCTCCCTGGGATTAACTGCACTTTTGCTCTCTTCTTGGCTTCACTGTACTTCCCTCAGCTCTTTTCTTAGATAACAATGCATCTCGTCCTGCTTTCTGTGTCAGCTTCTGCTTTTCCTTCTTGCTCCTACTTTTTCTATGTAGTATTTTTTTCCTCCCACCTCTCAAACTCCTTGCTCTGAGACATTTGATGATATTTCTGAGGCCTAATAGCTAGAGGTCTAAACCTGCCAAGCTCAAAGCTTGAGCCTCACTGTCTAGAGAGAAGCCAACTCTCTTTCCAACTCTGGTAGCAGGGGAGGGTTCTGGGACCCCTCTCACGCACCTTTCTCTGAAACCTACTTTTCATAGATTTTAAGGCCATTCTAAACAATTAGTCTGGCTCCCTGAGTAACATAGGCCATAAGCCTTCACCAAGTGATTTC